GTTAAAATTATTGCAAAGGAAACTTCAATTAAGTAGAAATGACCTTGTACTGGCCAAGTTAAAGTTTCTTATTTTCTTTGTTATTTGTTTTACTGAACTTAGTTAAGTAGAGTTTACTTGAAATTATGTAAAAGATCTGTGTGCAAAAACTTGTGAACGAAAAATGAAGTAAAATTGACTCTTTTTTTCAGTGTGCAGAAACAAAACGAATAAGATATTAAGTGTTGTTCACTGAGAAAATATGATCAAAATGACATGACAAAATGAGTTCATGCTTATATATAATATATATGTCAGTGTCAGAGTTAGAAACATAACTTTCAAAGGGAAAACAATTATTTATTTTTCTGTATTAGTTATTATTAATTATTTATTATTAAATGTTGTTTTCAGCACAAACTCGCTTCATTTGAATAATTAAGATTCAACATCTTCAGTCATTTTGCTTCTCCAGTAAAAGTGTCTTTTTAAAGATTTTTTAAAATGTAATAATCTTTAGATATTAGTGCTGGAGCGCAAGACAGAAACCCTGAGGAAGAACATCATGTTTGCCGTTTTTATCATTTGATATTTCAGTTTACATTTTCTAGTATTCTGAAAACATTTTGGTGTAAAAACTGTTTCCTTCACAAACAATCACAAACAAACTGCAATTAACGTATTAAATTATAGGTGAATTATTGAAGTAGAAAAACTGAAATAGTATTTTCTAATATAATCTTTGTTTTATTTACAACTTTAAAATATATTTTAAAAAATTAAGTTAAAACTTAATTAAGTTTTAAATGTGTTAAATAAATAAATAATTTAAATGAAAATAAATTATTTATAATAAATAAAACAGGTTTTCTTATATTTTATTTTGTTTCAGTTAATGTTTATTTTATTCCAATAACAAAAATGCATATATATATATATATATATATAGTTTTATATATAGTTTTAATGAACTCTATAATAACCCTGTGCAGTTGACATGCTAAGTTTAATCAGCTCATATTAATTACAAGAAAACATTGGATAGAAATTATGGGATAGGTGTTTAAAACATTGAAGATTAAAAATGATGAAACAAACACATCTTTTAAAAAGTCACATTACAGAAACCCAGAACTGACCGTTATTCCACTCGTTTACAGAGTTGAGATGATTAGAATAGAAATTTCTATGGGAGCTCACCTGTGTGGCGGATCTGCAGCTTCTTCATCAGTGAGCGCAGACTCACCTGAGGCAGGTATATCTCTGTGTGGGCGGAGCTTCAGCAGCTCATCTGCATAAAGGAAACTCTTTCCCTGTTCTCTTTAAATCGACTTCCCTTCCCTGTTCTGGAGAATCACGGCTGTCATGAGTGTAAACGAGTTCTGCCACACTGCAAACACAGCCGTGGGTCATGACGACAGCTCTGGATAATGACTGCACAAATGGAGAATGTTGCATAACTCTTATAATGTGCACTTTAATAAAAGCAGCCGTGTTTGAGGGTTTTGTACATGTTATGACACTTATGTAAGTATATATTGAGCAGTAAAGAATTTTAATTAAAGAGTCGCTCCTAGTGACAAAATTCTGAGAAAATTCTCAGAAATGTGGGTGTTTACTCTTAAAATTAAGAAAAAATCCTAGTAAAGAAAAAAGTAATTCAGAAAGTATCTTAAGCCTTAAAAGAGGTCTTAAAGGAGTAGTTCACTTTAAAAAAGCTTTTGCTGATAATTTACTCACCCCCGTGTCATCCAAGATGTCCACGTCCTTCTTTCTTCAGTCGAAAAGAAATTAAGGTTTTTGATAAAAACATTCCAGGATTTTCTCCATATAATGGACTTCAATGGGAACCAAACGGTCCAAAAGACAGTTTCAGTGCAAACTGCAAACTGTTCAAAGGGCTTTAAACGTCACCAGACGATGAATAAGGGTCTTATCAAGCGAAACGATCACTCGTTTAATAAATAAATAACAAAGTTTAAGTTTTATAAGCTCAAATGCTCGCCTTGCTCTGTTCTGTGACGCGCGTTCGTGACTCTCCTGTTCAAACTCAAAATCAAAATGAACAAATCTTTTTTCGAGTCATGACTCAAAGGGTCCTAGATCAGACCCTTATTCATCGTAATAAATTTTATTTTATTTTCTTTATTAGGATTTTACTAGGAGTAAATGTCCACATTTCTAAGAATTTTCTTAGAGTTTTGTCACTAGTTCACTAGTTTTGTTCTGTAGTTTCACTTTTAGATCAAGTTGGTTGGGATTTTTTTCCATCATCACCAAACACACACACACACACACACACACACACACACACACAGAAGCTCAGATGCCTTTCTGAAGCTGGAAATGATCCAGTCTGTTTCCTGATCAGTATATGGGTAATCATGATCACGATGATGTGGCTTTATTTTAGCCCAGTTTTCTTGTCATGTGACCCGTTTCCTGAAGGATTCTCTCTGAACATCTGACGCGTTTCATACCAGCAGCAACTAAAGTTTTAATAAAACCATAAAAGATCAAAAGCATTCTGCTATGGCCATTAAAAGACAGTCATTTCTTTAAGAAAGTATAGATTAGGCTATGTGTATTATTGTATTTTTTACCAGGTGGTAAAGTCAGTGTCTGATGTATTATTATTTATTAATATCATATACGGTAATAAGCCTGTGAAATGTGCACCCTGAAGGCTTGAACACGTGTTGTGAGTTTTGTGGCCTATTTCTCCTGTGCCTGATCTTCTTTAGTCATTTTTATTTTTTTTTAATTTGTGAAAATATTGTATTAAGCAATGCGTCACGTAGGGCAAGGAGTGAAGTGGAGAGAGAATCCATGTGCAGAACTTATTTAATGAAATAAAAACATGTTACTTAACCAGAAACTCAGCGCAGGAACACGGAACAGCAAGACATCATCAACGACTGACCAGGAACAACTAAACTAGAGGGGTATAAATACAGGGGAAAACTAGCTGACAAGATAACAAGGGGGTGTGGTTAACAAGAAACACCTGGGGAGACTAATCAAACTAATGGGGAACTGAAAACATGAGAGGAGACAGGGGAACACAAACTTGAATTATGACACAATGAAAATGCAGACAGAAAATCGAATTTATAAAACTAGTGAATAATCTTGTAAATCTCTGAATGCTGATGATTAGAAGCGTTGGTCACGTGTCATGTGATGAAGTGTCCGCTAGAGGGAGACACGTGATTATTATCAACAATATGATAATCCTCTGTTGATCTTTATTTTAAACTGCATATGATTTATTTTCTAAATGCATATATCAAACCTCCAGCAAATCATATTTTCCCACCTCAGGCATTAAATACCTTTTTATTATTTTTTGTTTATTTTTAGAACACTTATTCTCAACCCTGTAATTGGTTTTAAAACAATTTTACACAAAACGTGTTATAAAACAAACATCCACCTAGTGCTCATGTGTCCCTCATAAAAAATGTAACTGGAGCTAAAAATAAAACTTCTAACACAATTAAAAAACTTCTAGACACAATTTGTTTAACTGAAACCACAATGTTATTGTGTTAGTCAGGTGGTAATCAGCAAGAAATGGGCAATTCTTCATTCTCTTCCCCACTTAAAAAATAAATAAATATATGAATGTGACAAGGTTAAGAACAGTGTGACGGTGTGAAAGGAGACATTGCCTTAAGTTTGATATTTTTGGCTCTTCTGGCCTGTAGATGGCGCTTCTGGCCTGTAGATGGCGCTTCTGGCCTGTAGATGGCGCTTCTGGCCTGTAGATGGCGCTTCTGGCCTGTAGATGGCGCTTCTGGCCTGTAGATGGCGCTTCTGGCCTGTAGATGGCGCTTCTGGCCTGTAGATGGCGCTTCTAGCCTTCATAAAGTTATTTATCCTTATGCTGTGAAGAGAGACAGATAAAAAAAGGCAGATCTCCTACAATCCCTTAAGAAAGTTATCCTAAACAGCTAAGAAAAATGAAATATCACAGTATGGACAGAATAATAATTTAATTGTACTGAAGTAGGCCTACAGATGACAATAAAGATCTTGAAAAGTGTGGGCGACACGACAAACACACAATAAAGCGATTTTTCCTCCTATCTTTCTCTTTATCTTTTTCTCTTGCTAGCAAATCATTAACTATTAGGCTATTTATCCGTGTTCTGTTGACAATGTGTGTATTATTGTTATAGTGTATTATAAACACACCTGCTTATTATATGTCAACTAATGTCTTTTTGCATTAGCCCACTTAAACAATTTATTTCATAATCAGAGTTGTTGTTTTCTGCTTTGACTCGACAGAAGATGAACTATAGGGGGAAAACTGAAATCACAACCAAAAGCAAAGCGCTTGCGGAAATAGCAAGAGTTTTCCCGCGGGAATCCTGAATGAATCCCGGGAATCCCTGAAGATGCTGTGGGAATACGCGGTCATATGACACACACACAAACACACACACAGTGACGCAGCAATTTGCTTTAACTACTCAACAGGTTTATTTTAAACGACGTTAACTTGGAATTCAGCTTTATATTGAGCTTCATACAATAGTTTTAAAGAAAAATAACAGAATCAAGATGCAAAAACAATAAAAAATGAGAAATGCAAATTCTGCCGTAAAGCAGATCTAAAAATAAAGACAATAATAGAAAATAAATATTTTAATTGCAAATGAACACAATCGAAATAGAGAGAATAATAGAAATAAACTGAAATAACGAATAACACATACATCCTTCCAAGCAAGCTAATATTAATTTAAACATAAACATAAACATTAACATTAACATCAGACACACACTCACAGGACAGGACTGATGAAATATCATGAGGAGGCTGTGTGTGTGTGTGTGTGTGTGGAGCTACAAGTGCTCGAGTGAGGGGCGAGTTCATGACGACGAGTTTACAGAACAGTTACTAACCGCGCGCAAAGTGTTTTAGGAACACACACACACACACACACACACAGAGAGAGAGAGAGAGAGAGAGAGAGAGAGAGAGAGAGGGAGGGAGAGGTCAGATTTGACCAATCCTAGAGGCTTGAGCTCAGAAGGAAAAAACAAGTGAGTATTTGCAGGATATTCTTCTCACAGGATGTGTATCGAGCAGAGAGAGAGAGAGAGAGAGAGAGAGAGAGAGAGAGTCCTGAGCTTCAGCCAGACTGAGGAGAGCAGCATGAGAGAGAACAGCACTGGAGAAGCACACTACTGAGGTAACACACACACACACACACTACTGAGGTAACACTGCTGAGCTAACACACACACACACACACTACTGAGGTAACACACACAACTGGGGTAAAACACTACTGAGGTAACATGCACTACTACATGTACTGAAGTAACACACACTACTGGGGTACACACAAACTACCAGGGTAACACAACTGAGGTAACACACTTTGGAGGTAACACACACTACTGGGGTAACAGATCTGAGGTAACACACTCCTGAGGTAACACGTGTGAGGTAACACTAGACTACTGAGGTAACACACACACACGCTACACTTCTGAGGTAACACATTTCTGAGGTAACACACTACTGAGGTAACACACTATGGTAACACACACACACACACACACACACACACACACACACACACACACACACACATTACACTAGGTAACACTTCTGAGGTAACACACTTCTGAGGTAACACATTTCTATGGTAACACACACACACACACACACACACATTACACTAGGTAACACTTCTGAGGTAACATACACTACTTTGGTAACACACTAATGAGGTAACACATACACTACACTACTTAGGCAACACACTTCTGAGGTAACACATTACTATGGTAAAACACACACACACACACACACACTATACTACTTAGGTAACACTTATGAGGTAACACATTACTTGGTAACACACACACACTACCTAGGTAACTCATTACTATGGTAACACACACACAAACACTTCTGAGGTAACAGAACTGAGATGACACACACACACACACACACTACAGCTGACGGAAGTTATTGGACTGAATAATGAAATTACACTGCAAAACTAGTTATGTTCTTACTTTAGTCTTATTTACTGAGAACTGTCCAGTTGAGTTTGAGACAGAACACACACACACACACACACACACACACAGAACACACATCTGATCTCGTTTTCTCTTTTGAATGAAGTTTATTTTTCTGACACCATTGCAGATATTTGTTCTGTTTTTCAGCACAAACTCAATTAATTTGGATAAATGTTTCTGTAAACAATGATCTGCACACAGTTGATGTGAATGATGTTGATGATGACCTCAATGATGTTATGATTGAATGATGATGTGATTGAATGATGATGTGATTGATGATGTGATTGAATGCTGTTATGATCTGATGATGTTATGATCTGATAATGATGTGATTGACGTCTGTTGTATATGGGTGAGTCTCTGTCTGGAGGATCAGACTGAGGTTTTGTTTTCCGATCTTGCGGTTGTTCTCGTCTTTGATTGGTTCAGGATGAGTAATCGCCGTTCTGAAACATCTCTCTGATCATCTTCAACACATGATGTGGAAACGACGTTTAACCTTTATTATATTTCTGCTGTGCTCGACGTGTGGGCGTTTCTGTTCACGTCCAATATCTGACAGAAACTAGATCATGTTTGAGACAGTGACACATGTGTTTCCACATCATCTGTTAAAAACAGAAGCAGTGCGCAGTGTGTGATGTCATGGCTGCACTTTATCTCTCTCTCTCTCTCTGTGTGTGTGTGTAGCATCATGGGTCCGTGTGTGTGGATACTGGTGCTCGTGGTCCAGCCGGTCCTGGCCTTCAGACGTCCCCCTCCGGCCTCGGCCTGTCGAGAGGTGAGTGTCAGTCATTCAGGTGTGTGTGTGTGTGTGTGTGTGTGTGTGTGTAGCTCAGTTGCTTAAGTGAAACGGACTTTGTTGAAATGTCAGCATGACAGAAACAGTGAGCTCTCCGTTGTTTGTCTCTAATAGAGTAGACTGATGCGTCTTCGGTCGAGTCTTGCACACGACATTATTTATAACTTTGCATTTTTGTCGTTTTCCAGCACGAATATCAAACATACTTAAATTAAGCGCGTATTCTTGCGTTCTGAAAAATGCATCAAAACGAAGCGAGTTTTTGGTTAAAACTTTAAGAACTGGAATCTGCCGATGGACTCGTCATCTGGAGACGCTATAGTAATGCTCATTATGGCCATCATCTGAATTCAAAGGAAAAGAAGATATAGATTTGCGTTAAAAGTACCTTTTATTGCCTCAACCTTTTATTGGACAAGTTAAAGTTATTTATTTTCTTTGTTGATTTTACTTGACTTAGTTGAGTAGAGTTTACAGAAGAATAAACTTAATTCAAAGGGAAAACAAGATGATTTTCTATTCACTTTCAAACTCACTTCATTTTGATGCATTTTTCACAGCCAAGATTCAATATGTTCATTCTGCTTCTTCTCCTGTAATGTAAATGTGTCTTGATTTAAGAATCTCATTAAATCTATAATCAGTTTAGCTCTGCGTGACGACTGGTGACTTAGAAAACGCTCCAGCTTTAGTGGACATACAGTCAAACCAACATTATCCCGACGCCTTCAACATCTCTCTCATCATCGCTATAGTTCTGAAACCTGAGCAGAACTCAGTGGATAGTCTAACTCGTCCTTCTGTTGGACTCTCACACATGAATTATGTTGAATATCTGTCAGCTGTTCAATTGAACTCCACAATTAGATAAAACCAGTTTAGCTCAACCAGTGACCAAGCAATGCTTCATGTTGTTCAGTGTGTGTGGAAAAAGAGCAGAAAACACACTTCAGCTCAAAGTGGACGAATCATTTCTGGTCCCACATCTTTATAATGTCACCGTTTGAAGAATATTTGTATATAATGAGCAGATTGTGTCGGATGAACACATCACACTGCGTCCTCTGGTCGATCTGTGCGGGTTACGAGTGTGAGGAGGAGACGAGAGGACGAACGCTCAGCCTTGTGCTGAAATACTCCAGGAAACAGCCAATGCACACACAAAAAAAGATGTTTTGTGTTGTTTCCAGTCCAAATATGTAAAAATGCCTAAATCGGGATGTATTTACTGAAGTATGAAGATCATGAGATATGAAGTCTTGTTTTCTGGGGAAACACATCAAAATTAAGAGAGTTGTTGCTTAAAACAAGCACAATGATCTGCTAATGGGGTCAGAAGAACAATCTTAATTAAACAGAAACTAGATTATTTTTCTGACCTCATTGGCAGATCATGATTTTGCTTTTGTAAGAAGTCTGCTTGCACTCCAAAATATAATTGAGAATGAGCTCATCCCCATAATGGCTTAATTACCATAGAGATGAAGGAAGTCCCCGTTTGGGTTGATTACATCCCGTCTCAGACTCGAACATGCAGACGGGGAAACTCAAACTTTGGAAGATCTGTTCATTCTGACCTCCACATCATTTGTACTCGCACTTTCTTTAAGCAACAACTCTTCATTTTGTTTTATTCCCCCAGAAAACAAGACAATATCTCATAGCGTTTCACTCGTATAGTAAATGTATCTTTAGTTAACAATTTTTAGATATTTGGACTGGAAACAAGACAAAAATACTAAGAAAAGTCAAAACTGTATTTGTTATATATGCGTCACATGACTAAAATATTCTGCTATGTGTGAGATCACAAAAGCCTATAAGGCACAAACTGATCACTTTCACTTTTATAAGGTGTTTGCATAGATGTGTGTTTGCAGTGTGTGGACACAACCACCAAACAATGAAGAAAATCAATTCACATTTTCTTAATCCTGAAAAAGCCTAAACACTCTCAATAATCAGGCCGTTTGGATTGTCAGAGCAATATGATGTCATAATGCTCATGCTCCGCCCACAAACGCTGACGGGCTGTCCCGTATTAGCATATTTCCATCCGTTTGTGTACTGTCCGCCAAGGCATCACTCGAGGGGGGAGAAATTGCTCATTATCATTTAAAGAGACATGCACCTCATTATCATTTAAAGAGACATGCACCTCATTATCATTTAAAGAGACATGCACCTCATTATCATTTTAAGAGACATGCACCTCATTGTCATTTAAAGAGACATGCTCTTCATTAGTATTGAAAGAGGCATGCACCTCATTATCATTTAAAGAGACATGCACCTCATTATCATTTTAAGAGACATGCACCTCATTGTCATTTAAAGAGACATGCTCTTCATTAGTATTGAAAGAGGCATGCACCTCATTATCATTTAAAGAGACATGCACCTCATTATCATTTAAAGAGACATGCACCTCATTATCATTTAAAGAGACATGCACCTCATTATCATTTGAAGACACATGCACCTCATTGATATTGAAAGAGACATGCACCTCATTATCATTTAAAGAGACATGCACCTCATTATCATTTAAAGAGACATGCAACTCATTATCATTTGAAGAGACATGCACCTCATTATCATTTAAAGAAACATGCACCTCATTAATATTGAAAGAGACATGCACCTCATTATCATTTAAAGAGACATGCACCTCATTATCATTTAAAGAAACATGCACCTCATTATCATTTAAAGAAAGATGCACCTCATTATCATTTAAAAAAACATGCACCTCATTATCATTTAAAGAGACATGCACCTCATTATCATTTAAAAAAAACATGCACCTCATTATCATTTAAAGAGACATGCACTTCATTAATATTGAAAGAGACATGCACCTCATTATCATTTAAAGAGACATGCACCTCATTATCATTTAAAGAGACATGCACCTCATTATCATTTAAAGAGACATGCACCTCATTATCATTTGAAGAGACATGCACCTCATTATCATTTAAAGAAACATGCACCTCATTATCATTTAAAGAAACATGCACCTCATTATCATTTAAAAAAAACATGCACCTCATTATCATTTAAAGAGACATGCACCTCATTATCATTTAAAGAAACATGCACCTCATTATCATTTTAAAAAAAACATGCACCTCATTATCATTTAAAGAGACATGCACTTCATTAATATTGAAAGAGGCATGCACAGAAACCCTGGCTCTGGCACTGATGTTGACTAATAGCCCTGTTTCTTCTCCAGCTCCAGGAGGACCTCGACTGCAGCAATCTGAACCTTAGACGGATCCCGAAGCAAATCCCGGACACCATCCTCCGGCTCGATCTGTCCCGAAACCTCCTCCAGAACCTCACGGACCGAGACCTGCCGTCCTCCTCCACCATCCGACATCTCAACCTTCACGGAAACAAGATCCAGTTCATCCAGCCGGGACTCTTCCGAGACACGAGCCTTCTGGAGGAGCTGGATCTGTCGGAAAACTCCCTGGATCTTTACGCGTCTCTGAAAACACACGTCGGGACGCTCACATCCGTGCGCCGACTGGATCTATCCGGAAACGGGTTGTTCACGGATATGAGCGACTTCTTCCTAAACGACGCCCCGGTTCTCACCAACCTGTCTTTGAGCGGGAACAGCATCACTAAGATAGGCCGATCCACATTCAACGGATCCCGAGCTTTAAAAAGCATCGACTTAAACAACAACGTAATCATAGAGATCGAAGAAGGCGCGTTCGAGTCCTTGACGGGACTCTCCGATCTCGACCTGTCCATGAACTCCATCTCATGCATTACAGATTTCAACCTCGTTCGGCTCAAAACGCTGAACCTGAGCAAGAACAGCTTGACCAACTTCCAGGCCGACGACTCGGCTCAGGAGTTTGAGCTTCAGTATCTGGACTTGAGAGAAAACAAAATCCTCTACTTCCCCGTCCTTCCCCAAAGGAACAAGCTCGTATACCTGGACTTGTCTAGAAATCTCCTGCGGAGTGTGAATTGCTCCGGTCCGCTAGAAGAGCTGGAGAACCTGAAGGAAAGTGGATATCTAATGACTGATCCTGATAAACCTCTTTCGTTGTGCGTCAACAAGAGGCACCAGGATTTTCCCAGCTTGCTTTACTTGGACTTGAGCTTCAACCAGCTCAAAGCGGTCCCGTCCTCGTTCTTCAGCAGTATGACTGCGCTGGAAACCCTGAACATCAGCTACAACTGCTTAGAAAGCTTCACTGTGGACGACGACGGTCTGAACTCTTTGGAGACGCTAGACATCAGCTCCAACAATCTCCAGAACCTTTCCTTCGGGCTGAACGCGCTGGCCGCGCTACACGAGCTCCGCCTCGGGGGAAACGCTCTCCAAACGCTAGACGCCGGGATTTTCCTCAGGCTCCCCAGCATCCGAAGCCTTCATCTTCAGCAGAACCAGCTCAGCATCTGCTCTCCGTCGGAAAACCCGAGTTTCGGCTGCGTCCAACTCTCCTCGATCCCGACCCTCAGGTACCTGTACCTCTCGGAAAACGGGTTGTTCTCGGTTCCACCGGGATCGCTCCAGGGAAGCCCACTGCTAATCCTGGATTTATCCCAGAATCCCGGCGTTGACGTTATCCCGGCTTCGTTTTCCGGTCTGGAGGCGTCGCTTTCCCATCTCTCCCTAAAGGGAAACCAACTTCAGTCCCTAACAATTGACTTCACCGTTTTCCCGAATCTAAAATCCTTGGATCTGTCGGTGAACCGGCTCACGGGAGTCTCCCTATGGAGCGGGGATTCCTCCCTCGAGTCGCTCAACCTGCAAAACAACAGTTTAGTATCGCTTTATGAAGTCACGCTGCAAGAGTCGCTCCGGACTTTATACGTGGGATCGAACCCGTTGAGCTGTTGCATGAACCCGCACCTCCTCGCGCTCCTCCGGCAGGAGAGACTCACGGTGCCGGACCTCTCCGGAGCGACGTGCTGGTATTCCCGAGACTCGGAGCGCGTGGAGATCGGCGTGAGCGCCGTGAAGCCGGAGCACTGCGAGTCTGCCGACGGGAAGGTGCTGTGGATCAGCGTGATCGTGGCGCTGGCGCTGGGAATGGCGCTGGTGTTGGCCGTCACCATAAAGCTCTGTCACTCAAAGAGGAATAGATTCAAGAGAGGCTTCAAAGCTTGAATCTGAAGGCGAAAGAGGGAAAAGAAACCAGAGCGTTCTCACCTGACTGGTGGCGAATGCATGACCCCAGGTTTCAGTATGTGATGCGTGGGCGATCTGGAACCAATTCAATGTGAAACGCGCCACCATAAATGCACAAACCAGTCACCGTAAAAAGCGATTAGTTGACCTAGCTTAAGTTTATCAAAAACAAAAAATTAAGTAATGTGGAATTGTCAGGCTTTTTTTTTACATTTGTTGACATAAAATTGCCTTAAGCAAGTGAACTAAACACTTTTTACACTGTATAATAAACAGGACAGCCTGAGTATTAAAAGCAGGCTCAACACTACACTCTCTGATGTATATTGCATGCACTTTATGGACTGTGATTTGTGATTATTGGAGTGAAATGTACCTGCGATATGTTTGCATATTGCGAAACCGCCCTTGACCAATGCAAAACATGGTGCACACGCTAGATTGACTCAGACATCTCGAGCCAGTATGCGTGTTGTGCATTAGCCGAAGGAATGTCATGGACGGAGGAAGCGTTTTACCGCAACACCTGCACCTCTTTCCTGTTGTTGAGCTCGGTTTCCTATCCTGGTGTTGGAGATTTATCCCTTCAACCTCAGTTACACCGAGTCGTGTTTGACTGCTGATCACATTTAGCTCCGCACACATGAACACACACATAGGCCGCAATGTTTGTTTGGTCTTTTTTTAGATTTTCCAGCCTGGAATAAGTTCGACCCTGGTGTGTTTATCATGAGCGGGGACAAAGATAGACAGGAGATCCCGGCTGAGGGAAGCGCTCATCATCACCACAGATATTAATAGACGCGTGTTTGAGCTTCCTCCTATCTGTCTGAGTCACGGACCTTCTGCTTTCCAGACACACGTCATGTATGAGCTGCCACTACTATATGAAGGAACTGTACCACAACTACTACTGTGTAAATCTATTTATGAAGTATTTTCCTAAATAAAAGGTCTGTGTTACGTCGTCAGTGTGTGTGTTCCTCCTCACTACTTCAACATGACCAAATTAGGCCAAAATCAGCATCAATACATCAATACAAAATACCCAAAGTAGTTTGCATGATAAACTGAAAAGGAAATGCTCTCGTATCTCGTTGACTCCAGCTTTAGGTCTGCGTAACCGCTGGCTAATATTAGACAATATTCAAATGTGTGTTTAGACGTTGTGTTAGGAATATCACATGTGGTCTGGACCGCAAACAACGAGCTTCTTCCTCAATATTGTAGCCTTATTTTCCAGCACGATTATCCAAACAGTCTTTAGTGGAGATGCAAAATGATTTAAAAATATATAATATAAAAACAAAACATATTAGGTCTTAATTATTCAAATGAAGTGAGTGCTTTAAACAAGAACACACATCATGTGGCGGTGGGGGCAGAACAATAATTTCCCCGCTGAATTAAGATTATTTTTCTGAGCCAATCGGCATTTATTTATTTTTTTATTTATTTTGACCTAATTATTTATTTATTTATTTTTTAAATATGAACTCAACTTATAAGTGTAATCATTTAAAAACCTGGACTTAGGCCTACTATGTGAAGTCATTAGATGTGTTTTGATGTAAGAATGTTTAGCTTTTATAAGGTTATTAAAGCAGCATGCATAATCAATAATTAGAGCAATGCGGACCCCAGCGCAATGACATCATCTGTTCAAACAGGAAGTAGCGCTGCAGGAAATGACCCGCTGCTGTTCGTTTGACTGCAGTTTCCACTGTTCATATAAATATGTATAATGCTTCTCTATTCTATTCTACTCAACGCTGCATTCATGGAAATACAGTAAAAAAATATATATATATATTATATATTATTCCAATGTAAATCAGCTGTTTTCTATGTGAATATATAGTAAATTATAATTTATTCCTGTGATCAAAGCTGAATTTATTTAATTAAAAATACAGTAAAAAAACCCATAATATTATTCCAATGTAAATCTGCTGTTTTCTATGTGAATGTATAGTAAATTATATTTTATTCCTGTGATCAAAGCTGAAATTATTTAATTAAAAATACAGTCAAAAAACAAAATATTATTCAAATGTAAATCTGCTGTTTTCTATGTGAATGTATAGTAAATTATATTTTATTCCTGTGATCAAAGCTGAATTTATTTAATTAAAAATACAGTAAAAAAAAAAAACCATAATATTATTCCAATGTAAATCAGCTGTTATCTATGTGAAAATATAGTGCAATTTATTTCTGTAATTCTAATATGATGATTTGAAGCTCAAGAAACATTTATTCCCGGTATTAAAATCAATGTTGAACAGTTCATATGTTTGTGGAACCCGTCATACATTATATTTTTCAGGATTCTTTGATGAATAGAAAGTTGAAAAGAACAGTGTTTATTTGAAACATGATCTTCGGCAGCATTATAATCGTGTTTCGGTGTTCGGTGCACTTTAATCTGCTCATCCTTTAATAACAGCTTCTAAAGCTGCTCAAGCGTGTCAGGCGTTACACTGTCAATCAATCAATCAATCAACGTTTATTTCTATAGAGCTTTACACAACCGTCAGCTATCCAAAGTGCTTCACGTCATAAAACATTATAATAAAACGGCATATTATACAATAGATACAAAAGAAAAGAAAAAGTATTAAACGCCATTCTAAATTGGTAGGCTTTATCATGACCTCGTCGTAACCCCAGAGGCCGTGTGATGATGTCATCATGACCTCACGGATTCTTAAACGTTTCTGTCGGGTTGAGCGCACAATGAGCCGCTTGTGTGTGAGATCAAGAGAAGGAGCTGAACTTGTGTTTCTCTATATCAGGCTCTGTTTGTGTACGAGCCGCACAGGCCAATTATGCATTTATAATAGCAGCGGTTTTATTTATATAATTACTGTAAATCCTGTCATGTGTCGGACGCTCTTGTTTTGACATGAAGGTGTAATTACCAGAGACGAGGACAGAATCACATGTTTGAAGAGCGCCTTTGTCTCTGTGGAATCTCTGAAACAATAGCAGTCTTCATCATCATCATCTTCATCGTGTGTGTGTGTGTGTGTGTCGGAGTCGCCCCTGTCTGGAATGAGGAAAACAGGAACTGGATCAGAGTAAAGGCCAATTTATACTTCTGCGTAGGGTGCGCGCAGTAGGTACGGCGTAGCATACGCACAGACGCGTCCCATACCGCGTACCCTTCGCCGTCGCCTGACGCGCACCTCCTCAAAAATGTAACTACACGTCGCGACGACGCGGACCGCAAGATCGGTGATTGGTTGGCTTGGTAGCATCGCATTTCCTCCTACGCATTTCCGCACGTACCTTCTCACGCATTTCCACCACTGTCTATGATTTCCACAAGTTTCATCTCCTCCGAAGTCTTCTCTCATTTCTGCCTTTCAGTTTTAGTAATTTTACTAAAGTGAACTGTTTTTCCACCTTAATAAGCTCCAATTCCAACATGATCAGCTCTCTTTCACTCGTAGTAACCTAGCCGCGAGGAATCTAAACACAGTGGAACATTAAAACTCTCCGCCGCCAACTAGCGTTTCGGAGCAGTACTGCAGAGCAACCAAGACCTGAACGCAGAAGTATAAATGCTCACAACGGCGTCGCCTACGTGCGTAGCCAACGCCGTACACTACGGCGTACCCTCGACGCAGAAGTATAAATTGGCCTTAACACTTCTTGGGTAAATTAAGTGTTTTTCCCCTCCAAACCAGTTCAGCGCATCTCCTGTGTTTGAGGTTTCGGCTCAGGATTGAGTAGCCAATCAGCACTGAGACTGGCACTGGCAGGACCAATGAAATCTCTAGAATCTGCTTCGGGGCGGAGTTTACGTTCAACAACAATAACATGAACGAGACAGAAACTACATCACTGGAATCACTTTCAGAGCGACTGTTGAACGATAAAAACACTGACAGCCAATCAGAATCCATCCCGTTAGCGCTCCAGCATTCACACACACACACACACACACACACACATCAGCATTAGTTCACCCGCGTTTCAAAGAGCTGAACTGAAATCAAAGGAATTCTGACTGTAATCAGAAACAGACTCAGACCATAAACAAACCATCCCACTCGTGTTTATCCCGGAAATGTGTAAACGTCCCGTCCTGATCACTGTCTGCATCTCTCTGACACACACACACACACACACACACATAAACAAGGATCAGTGTTCAGTCTGAATGTTTATTACTCATGTCTTAATAACTCAACACGGATCACATGATCACATTCCAGTGTCTGTCGTGTTCATCATGCTGAATAAACTGTAAGCGGATATTTGATCCTGACAATTAAAGTAGAATGGGAGTTCACACACACACACACACAGAGAGAGAGAGAGAGATTCTCCCCGCAGCCCTGAAACTGCAATCCTGTAAACATGAACAAAGACTGCGCTCGGCTTACTGAACTCCGATCCGCTTATATACGAGTCAAATGTCAAGTGTTTTTAAGGAACCGATGTTTATATGCCACACTTGTTTTCCAGCACAAATATCTAAAGATTCTTGAATCATGATACATTTACTGGAGAAGCAAAATTATTGAAGACATTAAGTCGTAGTTATTCGAATGAAGTGAGTTAAAGGAATAATTCACCTAAAAATAAAAAAAATTGCCCATGGTTTACTCACACTGAAGCCACCCTAGGTGTGTATGACACTCTTCTTTCAGACGAACACAATCAGAGTTATATTAAACATGTCCTGACTCTCCCAAGCTTTATAATGACAGTGAATGAGCGTTTCTGTCCATAAAAGTCCATAAAAGTGCATCAGTCCATCATAAAAGTGCATCTATCCATCATAAAAGTGCATCTTTCCATCATAAAAGTCCATCTGTCCATCATAAAAGTGCATCTGTCCATCATAAAAGTGCATCTGTCCATCATAAAAGTGCATCTGTCCATCATAAAAGTGCATCTATACATCATAAAAGTGCATCCATCATAAAATGCACTTTTATGATGGACAGATGCGCTTTTATAATGGACAGATTAACTTTTATGATGGATAGATGCACTTTTATGATGGACAGATGCACTTTTATGATGGACAGATACACTTTTATGATGGATAGATGCACTTTTATGATGGACAGATGAACTTTTATGATGGACAGATGCACTTTTATGATGGATAGATGCACTTTTATGATGGACAGATGCACTTTTATGATGGACAGATGCACTTTTATGATGGACAGATGCACTTTTATGATGGATAGATGCACTTTTATGATGGACAGATGCACTTTTATGATGGACAGATACACTTTTATGATGGACAGATGCACTTTTATGATGGATAGATGCACTTTTATGATGGACAGATGCACTTTTGATGGACAGATACACTTTTATGATGGATAGATGCACTTTTATGATGGACAGATGCACTTTTATGATGGACAGATGCACTTTTATGATGGATAGATGCACTTTTATGATGGATAGATGCACTTTTATGATGGATAGATGCACTTTTATGATGGACAGATGCACTTATCATGGACAGATGCACTTTTATGATGGATAGATGCACTTTTATGATGGATAGATGCACTTTTATGATGGACAGATGCACTTATGATGGAGAGATGCACTTTTATGATGGACAGATACACTTCTATGATGGATATATGCACTTTTATGATGGACAGATGCACTTTTATGATGGACAGATGCACTTTTATGATGGACAGATACACTTTTATGATGGATAGATGCACTTTTATGATGGACAGATGCACTTTTATGATGGACAGATGCACTTTTATGATGGACAGATGCACTTTTATGATGGACAGATGCACTTTTATGATGGACAGATGCACTTTTATGATGGACAGATGCACTTTAATGGACTTTTATGGACAGAAACGCTCATTCACTGTCATTATAAAGCTTGGGAGAGTCAGGACATGTTTAATATAACTCTGATTGCGTCCACTCCAGGTTTTTGGCCTTTCCTGTTCGCTGC